TATTTTTATTTATTTCAGTGTTTCTTGTACCACCAAGACCTCACAGAAAGATTGCGCACATGTTGAAGTTGTGTACCCGCTAATATGGAATTTCTTGAATTTTTTCCCATTTTTTCTAAAATTTGTGAACTTGATAATTTTTTATCAAAATTTACAAAGATGGTACCAATTTTGTGAAATCAACTCCTGCAGTTTTCAATCTAGATCTTTGAAACTTAACACAATGATGGCACAAATATTTAAGTTGTGCACTTGGTACTATGGAATTGTTTGATAGTTTTCTCCCATTTTTCCCGTCTTTTGGAACTTAGTAATTTTTCATCTAAAAATTTCAAAAGAAGATAACAATTTTTATTGTTTTTAACCTTTATCTTTGGAACTTCACAGAGAGTTTACAAATTTATTGAGTTTGATCATCATCTACCATTTTTACATTTTATTCCATATATTCAAATTTCAGTATAGACCATTTCCATTGTTTAAGAAGAATCTGCACAACTCAGCTATTTGAGACTTTGATCATTTTTGGGAATATACATGAGTACTCTGTGCATGAGTAGTAAACCTTAAAAGAAGACGTATTCTATTAAACTATGCTTCAAAATATTGAAAAATGTTGGTGATTTATAGGTGTTATATAGGCATCTACTATACAGTCATTTTTATAACATTACTATACTGTCCAATTGTATTACATTTGTATAAGTATTTAAATATCAGATGTCTGGTAACTAATATAAAAGCTATTATTTAGAGCTCTGTTAATAAAAAAAAAATATGTAAACATAGTTCTAAATAATACTTTAAATGGGTGGAAGCAATTATGGGGTACTGAAAACATTTGGTAAATTTTCGAAATACAAGTTACCTGTTTAAAAGCACTTCTGGTATTTTAACAGTATTTTATAAATTAATTTAAAGAATTATTTGTATTTTACATCGAGAATCACTTCAGTTGCCACGATTGGAAAAAAAAGTGAGATGCCTTGGAACATTCTGGTGACTATTGTATATTTTATTTAATACAATGGAAAGGATATTTCATTAATTGGATTAAATGGAATCAGTGAACTGATTAGCATAAAAACCTTTGTTGAAAAACATAAAAGCAGCTCTAAGGAAGATGGTCAATTAAATCTTCAACCAAGTCTGAGGCTTTTACCAAGAAAATAATAAGGCAAGTTTATTTAAGCCAAACAATTTCTATACATTCTCTATAAATTTGATAAAAAGTGCATATTAAGTTTATTGAAATAATGCACTTTTATACCCCAATGGGCTTGATGACACACATAAAAATTAAAATACAAGACCTGAATTTATATATGTACAAATCGTGCAGTTGTTGAATCCACTCTTCTCAGTGACCAGGACTTTTTGATAAATGGAGCAGCATACCCCATAACTGACGGACATGATAGACATAAAACCAATATACCCAAGTTATCCATATCATCTATATTTGAATAGATAATTTTAAACTTTTTTAAGAATTCAAGTCTCAAGATTTAAGACAACAGACAGCACCCTTCTTCTGCATGCAAAACACCATTGGTGAATTAATTTACCAGTTTAATATTTTAAGATACCAGATAAATGACCAAAATTTTCTATCAAAATATCTATAGTAAATTCTGAGATAGGAATAAAACTTCAAGGGGAGACAAATACAATTAACAAAGATTTGTTCATTCAATGGGAGATAACTCTAAGATATGCACATGATTTTTTGCAGTTAAATTCCAAACAAAACCCTTTGACTTTTTTTTTTTTTTCCATCTTTTATATTACCGGTAATTTTTTTTCTTCCGATGAAAGTCATGGGTGTTGCTTTTCTGATAGAAACAGCAGAGGCATCAACAATTATTAAGTTTACTGCTTAAGTCAGTTTGATAGGAACTACTTGTGATAGATCATTGATATTTTTTATAAAGTTGCATTATTATCAGTACAAATTAGTTTGAAAACTATTTGGTGGCCCTGCCCCTTGGTCATGCGACTGAATTAATTAGCAATGTTGCTGTCCATCAGATTGTCTTTTTTTAAATTTTCTGCTGACAGGCCAGACATATTGCTGTGTCAACAGTTTATTTTACAAACTGGTATTACTGTTATACTATTGTGTACATGTAATAAGAAATCAGAACATATTTAGTAAATTTTAGGTTGACAGGGAATTGGATTTGTAAAATATGTAATGTGTCTATTTTTAATTCTTTTTAGGTTCTTCTGTGACATGTTTTCATGATGTGGGAATAAGACTTGTTGGTCTATTACAGCTAATATGAAGGTAGGTACCAGTATGGTACTGCTGTTTTTAAGAAAAAAAAAGTATTGGAAAAAGTATTTGGAAATAGTATGTGCTCTAGGCCTGAAGGTTAATAATTGTTTAGTGATAAATCTACTCTTTCTATTATCAGTACCATTATATGAGAAAATATGAGGATCTGATGTAATTACGTGCAAATTTGTTGGTTTGCAGGATTGCTGTCTAATCCATATGTTTTCAACATCTGTTACATATTTATAGACCATTTCTATTTAATTTACATACAGTATACACACAATGATCCTTTTAAACAATTTTTAAGGACTAAGCATTTTATAATTCAGATTAGCATCACAGCTTGTTTGTTTGGATTGAAGCTGGAAATGGCCATTAGAGATGACTTTTATGGTGAGAACCAGTACAAAGATTTATGAACTATTCATCCAAGAGCATGTTAATTATCTAAAATTCTATAACACACAGATGTAGATCTTACATTTTACTGTTTTCTTTGGTTATAATTGAATATATTATCTGGAAGGAGGTATCAAGATGCATAAGGGAAGTCAAAAATTGGAAATTTTATCTCTTTTTTTTTTATATAAAGTTGTTCCCATATATTAAAATATGGAGATGTGGTATGATTGCCAATGAGATAAAATGATGTTGATGTTAGCAATTTAAGGTCACTGTATGGCCTTCAACAATGAGCAAAACCTGTAATGTACAGTTAACTATACAAATCCCCAACATGACAAAATGTGAAACAATTAAAGCTAGAAAAAAATGTATGTCAACAAATCACTTTAAATCAGAGTATAAAAAATGTTATATGCATCATAATTGTAATGCCCAGTTAATTATTATTTTGCATTAAATATTGTCTCAATTTTCATGTTTTGACAGATATGTTTAGGAATGCATATTTCTTTTTCAGGTAACTTTTACTGGCTGCATAAAATGAATGTGTGATATAACTGTAACAGCAAAGAATGTAATTCAGACAATTTTTGTGTATGTTGGAGAAAATGTTTATTATTTTTTACCAAAAAAAAAAAAAAATGTGTGAAGATTCTCCATTTTCAACAAGAATGGAAGTTGAAGGTTATCTTGTATTTGAAATTTCAAAATTTTTCTTTTTTCCATGAAAAATCCATATTCTGGTATCTCTACTCATATCCATTGTTGTCTTGATATTTTTTTTGTCATGCTTATGGATACTGAGCTGGTTTTTGGTATGTAATTTTGTAATTATAAGTTCATAGTTCAGATTGTATTCATAATTTTTTTCCCCTGTGACTAGATTTAATTCGTACTTTGAAAATGAAGTGAAACAGACCAATTTTACTTGATCTACTTTAGATATACCAATAGCCGTCCGTGTATAGACTAAACACTTCCAGTACATTAAGAATGGAGAATCTAAAAAAAAAAAAAAAAAAAAAAAAATGTTATTTTAATAAAATGTATTTTTTGGGTTTCCTGAATTGTTAGATATATATCTTTTATAACTTTTGTTCTTTTTTATCCGAATTTCACTAAGCATAACAAAGTTTTTAAGAATATTTCACAAGAAGCATAGTTAAAGAACATCTTGGTGAAAAAAGATTGATGGATTGATTTTTGATCTCTGCCACAAAGGCCCCTAGGTGGAAATTAAAGTACAAAATGTAATGAATATTTTATTGAAATGTGTTGAATTTTTGTTATTAATTATTTTTTTATTTTACTTGTACTATTTTTTGTATTTTTGTTAAATATAGCAAGGAGTCCTAACAGGGTGAAATTTATGTCAAAAGGGAGGTAATTATTTTATACCCCTGTTTAACTCCACATACTTGAAATTTCCTCAGTGTTTGCTTTTTATTTACTTGGATATTCAAGTTTGTATTAAATATCAGATGTATACTAGCTAATATTGACTATTATTTCGAGCTCTGTAATTAAAAAAAAAATGTAAGCAGAGCTCTAGATAATAGATATGTAGGGTGGGAGAAATCATGGGTCACTAAAAATGATTTGGTGAAATTTTTCAAAAAGGTTATTAGTTGAAAGTACATCTGATATTTTTTTTATATATATAACTTTATTTTTCTAAAAACAAATGGACATAAAATAGATTGAAAATAAGATAACGAGGAGAGCCACCTTGGCAGCCAGGAGAGCAGCTCCATAGAAGAAGGTCAATTAAATCTTCAACCAAGTCTGAGGCTTTACGAAGAAATTAAGAAGGTAAGTTTGCCAAAGCCAAACAACTTATATACATTCTGTAGAAATATTTCAAAAAAAGTGCATATTTAGACAACAAACAGCACCCTTCTGATCTTCTGCATGTATAACACCATTGCTGAATTAATTTACCAATTTGATATTTTAAGATACAAGGTACATGAATAAGATTTTGTATTAAAATATATAAATAGTAAATCCTGAGATAGAAATACAACTTCAAGGGGAGACTAGTACAATTTAAAACAGCAAGATTTGTTCATTCAATGGGAGATAACTCTGTAAAATATGCAGATAATTTTTTGTGCAGTTGAAATTCAAATCATAAACCTTTGACTTATTTTTAGTTTTTCCATCTTTAATTAAAAAAAAAACTGGTGTTGATGTTATACTATTCTGTACATGCAATAAGAAACCAGAATAATATTTAGTTAATTTTATGTTGCAGGTAACAGAGAATTGATTTATAAAATATATAATGTGTCAATTATAATTTCTATTTAGGTTCTTTCTGTGACATGTTTTCATGGTGTGGGAATAAGACTTGTTGGTCTAATACAGCTAATACATAGGTAAGTACAAGTAGGTTAATCCTGTTTTTGAAAAAAAATCTCAAATGTATTATAAAAGATATTTGATCCGGGAACACAGTTATCGTCCTTTGATTTTGTTGTCTACAAATATAGTCCCTACTGTGAGTGTATTAGTTGCAATTTTTTTCATACCCCTTCCAAATTTATTTCTTCATGTTTTATGCCTTAAATAGCAAGTAGGGGGATGAAATTACACTAAAAAAAAATGGGTCATGCCTCAATTCTAAAGAAAAGTAGTGATTTGGTCCAGCTGAAAAGGGTTAAAAATTAGTATACCTGAAGCTGTCAAAAGAATTCAAGACCCCTTAACATAAAATTGTCCATATTTTGAGTTAGAGCTGATGAAGTTTTCTATAATTTTGATATAATTTGTTCCAAAAGTAGTACACCACACTAAAAATATTATTGAGAAAGCGCAGGTTGTTTTTTTAATTTTCATTTATTGTCTAAAAGAAATGCACTACGAAATAACTGATTTCTCGGGCCATTTGGAAAATTTATATCTAGATTTCAAGGTTGATGAGTTTGTTCAGAAGTCTACTCATAGTCTTCTATCAGGACCATTATATGAGTAAAGTTTAGGATCTGAATTGTTAACATAAAAGTTTGTTGGGTTGTTGGATTGCTGTCTATCTAGATAAGAAGATGTGGTATGAGTGCCAATGAGACAACTCTCCATCCAAGTCACAATGTATAAAAGTAAACCATTATAGGTCAAAGTACGGCCTTCAACACGGAGCCTTGGCTCACGCCAAACAGCAAGCTATAAAGGGCCCCAAAATGAGGTGTCAAGCAATTCAAACAGGAAAACCAACGGTCTAATCTATATAAAAAACAAGAAACTAGAAACACTTATGAACCATACCAACAAACGACAACCACTAAACACCAGGCTCCTGACTTAGGACAGTAATCCATATGTTCTAAACAACCTTTTCTACATAACAGTATACCAAAAGTGATCCTTTTAATTAGTTTGATTAACTTAGCATTTTATATTTCAGGTTAGCATCACAGCTTGTCCGTAAGGATTGAGGCTGGGAATGGTCTTTGGAACTGACTTTCAAAGTAAGAACTAATACATAGATTTATGAACTATTCATCCAAGAGCATGTTATGCCTAGAATTTTATTATGGGCCGATTTAGATCTTACATTTTTATATTTTCTTTAGTTATAATTGTATATATAATCTGGCAGGTCAGGTATCAAGATATATACCTGTAAGGGAAGTCAAAATTTATGATTTAGATAATCTTTTTTTATGCTCCTGCATAGGTGAAGGGGGCATTAAGTGTTACCCTTGATCATTCGTCCTGTCTTTCTGTCCGTCTTTCCGTCTCACTCCATCCAATTTTCGTTTCTCCACTGTAACTTGAGTTTGTCTCCTGCAAGTTTTATTAATCTCAAAAACAATGCTAAGAACCAAAACTTTAAGACAGTTCGAATTTGGGCAGTGAGTCAACTGTTCTAGAGTAATGCCCTTTTTAACTTGGAAAATTGCAAAGCTTGAGCGGGGGCATTCGTGTCAATGAGACATTTATCAACCAGAGACCACATGACATGGATGTAAACAACTAAAGGTCACCCATCATATGGCCTTCAACTATGAGCTAAACCTATACTGAATGGTAAGTTATAAAAGGCCCCAAAATGACAAAATGTGAAACAATTCAAAAAGAAAACCAATTGTCTGATATATGATAAACAATAAATGAAAAACAAATTTGTTAGACATCAACTAACAACTGGTTTTTTGTCGAGCCTGTGACTTTTATCGCAGAAAGCTTGACATAGGGATAGTGATCTGGCGGCGGCTACGGCGGAGGCGGCGGCGTTAGCTAACTTCTTAAAAGCTTTATATCTTAGAAGGTGGAAGATCTGGATGCTTCATACTTTGTATATGGATGTCTCATGTTACGAAGTTTCTGTCAGTCACATGTCCAATGTCCTTGACCTCATTTTCATGGTTCAGTGACTACTTGAAAAAAAGTTAAGATTTTTTGTAATGTTAAATTCTCTATATTATAAGTAATAGAATAACTATATTTGGTATGTGCATACCTTGCAAGGTCCTCATGCCCTCATTTCATGGATCAGTGAACAAGGTTAAGTTTTGGTGGTCAAGTCCATATCTCGGATACTATAAGCAATAGGTCTAGTATATTTGGTGTATGGAAGGACTGTAAGGTGTACATGTCCAACTGGCAGGTGTCATCTGACCTTGACCTCATTTTCATGGTTCAGTGGTTATAGTTAAGTTTTTGTGTTTTGGTCTGTTTTTCTTATACTGTATGCAATAGGTCTACTATATTTGGTGTATGGAATGATTGTAAAGTGTACATGTCTAGCTGGCAGGTGTCATCTGACCTTGACCTCATTTTCATGGTTCAGTGGACGAAGTTAAGTTTTTGAGTTTTGGTCTTTTTTTCTAATACTATATGCAATAGTTCAACTATATTTGGTGTATGGAAATATTTTATGATCTATATGTCAGTCACGCAGGTTTTATTTGACCTTGACCTCATTTTCAAGGTTCATTGCTCAGTGTTAAGTTTTTGTGTTTTGGTCTGTTTTTCTTAAACTATAAGCAATAGGTCAACTATATTTGTTGTATGGAAGAATTGTTAGCTGTACATGCCTGTCTAGCATGGTTCATATGATTCGACCTCATTTTCATGGTTCATTGGTCAATGTTTAGTTTACTTGGTTAATGTTAAGTTTATGTGACAGTTGTAATAAAGCTTTATATTTAGGACTATCAACATAATATCAATGATTAGTAAAGAAGGCGAGACATTTCAGCGTGTGCACTCTTGTCTTTTTTGGGCTAATAAGATTGGTAGCTCAATATTTTGCAACACTTCGGTTTATAACAAAGTAAAAGAAATATTACATGCATCATAATTGTATTGTCTTGTTAATTATTATTTAGCATTAAATATTGTTAAAATTTTTAAATAACTTTTGACAGATATGTTTAAGAATGCATATTTCTTTTTCAGGTAACTTATACTGTGGCTGCATAAAATGTTTGTGTGATATAACTATAACAGCAAAGAATGTAATTCAGACAATTTTTGTGTATGTTTTAGAAAATGTTTATGATTTTTTACAAAAGAAAAAAAAAATGTGTAAAGATTCTCCATTTTCAACAGGATTGGAAGTTGTAGGTTAACTTATATTTGAAATTTCATAATTTCTCTTACTTTTTTCATTTAAACCCATGGGTAAATATATAATCTCTACTCATGTCCATTATTGTCTTGACATTTTTTTTGTCATGCTTATGGATACTGAACTGGTTTTTTTGTATGTAGTTTTGTAATGATGAGTTTATAGTTCAGATCGTATTCATTATTTTTTTTGCCTTTGACTAGATTTAATTTGTACTTTGAAAATGAGAGTGAAATGGGCCGATTTTTGCAATTTTAGTTGAAGACCTACTTTAGATATATATTGATAATGGTATGTGTCTAGTCAAAATACTTCCAGTAGTTTAGAATGGAGAATCTAAAAAAAGAAAAAAAAGAATAAAAAAAGAAAAGAAAAGAAAGAAAGAAAAAAAAAAAGATGTATTTTTTGTTAGATATATATTTTTTCCAACCTTATTGTTATTTTTAGGTGAGTTTGTAACTAAGCATGATTCACTACATCTTGGTTGTCAGTTTTTACTGGTGGAGGAAGCCAGAGTGCCTGGAGAAAGCCTGACCTTTAACAGGAAAACTGGCAACCCTAGTCAATTAAAATTGGATGTAAACGCACCTACCATGTTAGGGGTCAAACTGGCAACCTCAGTGTTGACAGGGTAGTTGTTAATTTCTGTGTCATTTGGTCTCTTGTGGAGAGTTGTCTCATTGGCAATCATACCACATCTTCTCTTTTTATAGTCATACAATGTTGAACTACTTAGTCCACTCTGCCACCATGTCCCCGTTAATACTAAATATGTCATTGAATTGTGTTGGATTTTTGTTATTAAATTAATTTTTAATTATTTTGATTATACTATATTTGTTTTTTTTGTTAAATATAGCAAGGATGTTGAGTCCTAACAGGGTGATATTTAGGTCAAAGGGAGGTAATTTATTATACCCCTGTTAAACTCCACATACTTGAAATTTCCTCACTGTTAGCTTTTTATTTACTTGGATATTCACATTTGTATAATTTTTTTTAATATCAGGTGTATACTAGATAATATTGACTATTATTTAGAGCTCTGTAATTAAAAAAAATGTAAGCAGAGCTCTAGATAATAGATATGCAGGGTGGGAGAAATCATGGATCACTAAGATTGATTTATTGAAATTTTCAAAAAGGGGGATTAATCGAAAATGCATCTGATATTTGTTATGTATATAACTGTATTTCTAAAAAAAGATATGAAGATGATGAGGAGAGCCACCTTGGCAGCCAGGAGAGTAGCTCTAAGGAAGATGGTCAATTAAATCTTCAATAAGTCTGAGGCATTACCAAGAAAATAATAAGGTAAGTTTAAATATTCCACAAAGTGTATGTTAATTATATATTATCAGCTTTTAGAATTAATTTTTTCTGAAGGTTTATCAGTGTTTGATTTTGAGAATATCTACATTACTACGTAACAAGTGTCTAGATGGGGTTTACAGAATAGAGAAAAATGGCCAAAATAAATAATGAATAGAGAAAAATACAATATGGATTACAGAAATGAACTATGTACTGAATAAAGAAATCACCAAATTACATGCAAATTTAATAGAACAATAATTTTTATGAGAATCTTACAGAATAAAAAAGATAAATGCCTTAAAGAATACAGAAATTAAGGACACCCCATCCAGACCCTCAGTTTTTGGTGGGGTTCTTGTTTCTCAGTCTTTCTTGTATTTTGTATACTGTTGTTTGTCTGTTTGTCTGTTTGTCTTTTTCTTTTTTAGCCATTGCGTTATCAGTTTATTTTCAACTTATGAGTTTGAATGTCCCTTTGGTATCTTTCGCCTCTCTTTCATAACATATTTTTATTTTTCACATAACCATAATCAGGGATATATAATTAACATGTACATTGTATTTGTTAGCTTTCTACATTTGGTATTTAGTTAAACTGAGTTTTCATATTGAATATGTGAATATGATATTATACAACAATTTTTTAGAAATAAAATATAGCATGATTTTTGTCGCAGAAAGCTCGACATAGGGATAGTGATCCGGCGGTGGCGGCGTTAGCTAACTTCTTAAAAGCTCTATATTTTAGAAGGTGGAAGACCTGAATGCTTCATACTTTGTATATAGATGGCTTATGTTCTGAAGTTTCCGTCTGTCATATGTACATTGTCCTTGACCTCATTTTCATGGTTCAGTGAATACTTGAAAAAAAAAGATTTTTTGTAATGTTAATTTCTTTCTTATAATGAGTAATAGGATAACTATATTTAGTATGTGCGTACCTTGCAAGGTCCTCATGCCTGTCAGTTTTCATCTGACCTTGACCTCATTTCATGGATCAGTGAACAAGGTTAAGTTTTCGTGGTCAAGTCCATATATCAGATACTATAAGCAATAGGTCTACTATATTTGCTGTATGGAATGATTGTAAGGTGTACATGTCCAACAGTGAGTGAGTGGCAGGTGTCATCTGATCTTGACCTCATTTTCATGGTTCAGTGGTCAAAGTTAAGTTTTTGTGTTGGTCTTTTTTTCTAATACTATATGCAATAGGTCAACTATATTTGGTGTATGGAAATATTTTATGATGTACATGTCAGTCTTGCAGGTTTTATTTGACCTTGACCTCATTTTCACGGTTCATTGCTCAATGTTAAGTTTTTGTGTTTTGGTCTGTTTTTCTTAAACTATAAGCTGTGAATAGGTCAACTATATTTGTTGTATGGAAGGATTGTAAGGTGTATATGTCTGTCTGGCAGGTATCATCTGACCTTGACCTCATTTTCATGGTTCATTGGTCAATGTTAAGTTTTCCTGGTTAAGTCTGTTTCTTAGAAACTATAAGCAATAGGTCAACCATCTGGTTTATCTGACCTTGACCTCATTTTCTTGGATCATGTTAAGTTGGTGTGATACTTGTAGTAAAGCTTTATATTTAGAATCAATGGTCAGCAAAGAAAGGGAGACATTTCAGCGTGTGCACTCTTGTTTAAAGTCTTCTTAGATTGTAGATAGATCTGTAAAACAAGTATATTTTATTTTTTTATTTTAGGTTGTTATAATGACAATGTTTTCATGGTGTTGGGAGTAAGACTTGGATATCTGATATTGTTAACATGTTGGTAGGTATTCAACTTTTTTTGAATAATTTTATATTAATTGGCATCAATTTTATAAAGGTTAAAGTATCAGAAAATGATTTATACAATATGATGATATACAATATAAAAATAAGGAGATGTGGTATGATTGCCAATGAGATAACGTATCCACCAAGGTTCATATGAAGTGCATGTAAGCAATTATAGGCAACCGTACGGTCTTCAATAATGAAAAAAACCCATACCATATAGTCTGCTATAAAAGTCTATTTTTCTATTGCAAATTTTAAACCATGAATTTATGATTCGGAAACCAAATATTTTTTCAATGAATTTTTGTTGTTTGTTATCCTAGTACTATTTTAAATTACGATGATAAAAAGTTTTTTTTGGAAAAGTTTAAAATAACTGACCAACTTTGTATTCCAGATTAGCATCACAAAGTTTCCGTAAGGTTACTTGCTGGGGTAGTAATTGGAGCAGTTTTAAGGTGAGAATTTGATCAAATTTCAATTTAAATTTGTTTATGTTATCTTATGGCGAATGCCCCTAAATACTTATATAGCAATCCTGAATATGTTTTAATATAAAATGTTTTTTCCTTTACTTTTGAAGCTAATCAGTACATTTCAATGATATTTTTGTCACTTGTCATTTGATAAATGTTGTACCTATCAGAAGGTCATGAATAAGGAATTTGAAGGGGAGATAACCTAACATTTTATTGTTATGATAAAACACTAGTAACATTTTATTGTTATGATAAAACACTAGTGCTGTCATAATAAAGATGTATGATAACTGCCTTTCATTCAGTCTAACATGTTCATTACAAATTTCAAAAGAATTTATTCCTACATTTTATCATAGAGAAAACAAATTTTGGAGTGTCAAAAATACAACCACCAAATAAGGTTTGTTATTTATATACTTTCAATTTATAACAGTCTTTTAAGAAACTTGTTATTTTGAAACGAAGGAATAAACATCCTTAGTACCATATATTTTGGAGTAATAAATGATTGTATTAGTAGTGAACAAAGAATTTTTACATGCACTAATATCTGTTTATTTTATGAAAAATTGCTACAAATTTTTTTATACACTCTTAAGATCATTTTAATATTGAGAATAGTTATAACAATTGAAATTTTACTTAATTTCTTTTACAGTTGAAAGTGTTACTGTTGCTGCCTTGTATGGTAAAATCCTCGGACAATAATCATACAAACCATTGGATGAACTGTTACTATCTTTTTTTAGTACAATCCATAGACAGTAGTATTGTAAAAGCAGAAGATTGAAATGTTAACAAATTTTGTTTTTATTGCTGTATTGAGTTGTCCAAACTATAAATATTTTTTTCCGTTATTTTTACTTGCATTCAATTGTTGTATTGTGATTGATGAAAAATAAAACTGTGAAATTATTGTTCTTTGAGGGGTTCCAAAGGTATGCCATATGGTTTCACAAAGTACCCATATGACTTAGATAAGTTTACATATATTTTTTAAGTTATATATGTTACAAGTGCTTTGTGAAATGAATTTTGCCTGTGAGAAACCAATAAAGTAGAACTGTGATGGCCAAACACTAAAGGGAATGTAAAAAAATCCATGTTAAACAATTTGAGTAGAGTTTTTTCTGTGCAATATGAACTTAACGACTGCAAATACAAATGTTTGGTTTGGTTTGGTTGGGTTTGACTCCATTTTCTGTACATTCATACACATTAATGGCTGTCAGATTTATTTATGGGTTTTGTTTATGTATTATAAATGCATTATTCAGCATCTGAGGCCACTCAAAGGAAAATAATTAGTGTTTACAGTTTATATTTTTTTATTTCTATGTGATTGTTTTTTTATGTTTTTTCTTATTCACCATTATTTATATTTTGAGGATTTTTTAAAGATTTGTTTATTTGAGGATTGTACTCAACTTCTTAAGAACTATTTACCCATCCAAGATTAATCAGGAACCTGTAAAATAAGTATTTCTTTTATTTTGATGGAAAAATGACTGTTTAATGTCAAGTGGCAAATTAAATTCATTTTAGGATGAGAACATGATAATATGATATGAAATATACTCTGCTTTGTACTACACTGACACACTGAGATAGATTTTTTAATGTGCTAGTTCACAAGGTAACAGTCCACAGGAAGACCTGCAACACTACCCGGAACATTATTCTGACTCGGAGCTGACCAGTCTTTGCTTCAATGTTGCATGCTTAGCAGAGGAGTATCAAATACCAATTTTCAGTTCTTTGGTTCGACCCAATTAAGGATCAAATCCGATGACCTTCTGAACTTAGGTGAGCATGAAATGGGCTGTTAAAAGATTTGTCTGTCTGTTTGTCCATCATCATCTCTTATCCAGAGTTTACATACTATTGGAAGGTTTTCATTGAAACTCTCAGATTATCTTCTGTAACTAATGGCAGTGTGTATTTTATTTTATTATAATGAAATTTTGGGGTTCCCAATTGAAATGAATGGACCTCCTAAATATTTTGGATAACTTGGGAAGGAAGCTTCTCGTACCAAAATTTCATCATATGAAGATAGTTTGGTTTTGAATATTGTGTTTTAATCTGTTTTTAAATTTGATTTTTTAATAGTTAGATCTCATTATGACAAAAATTTCATAACGTAAACAAGAAATTAGAATAAATTCGGCTTGAAGACTTTAATATATTATCAATATCTTTTAAATAAACTTTATATGGGTTTGTTGTAACAAGATTTGTGTTTTATCTGGTTTTATATTGTTTTAGTGGTTTTTATATGATTTTATGTGTTTTTATTGTCAAATCTTGTTATACCAAGCCTTAATATAATTTTTGGGGAAAATTTACAGATTTTGTTTCTACATGCCATAGAAAATATTTATTTCATAGCATAATGAGATCTGATATTTTTATGTTTTTAACCCTATCTTAAAGGATAAAGAGTCGACTCTTCACAAAAAATCTTACAATTAAAATTGATCGTAAGTTATACTGAAATGTGCAGGACTTACAAGTATTTTTACTCTTAAAGATTTTTTGTGAAAAGAGCTGCTGCTCTAGCTAAATCTATGTTTATATCAGCTGAACCATCCTATCCTTCTGGTTAATAAGATATGTAATACATGGGAAAATCTATTCTTCAATTGGAGAATCTTAAAAATTGAAAAAATGTACACAATGTCGACAGATACTGAAGATCATTTGAAAGTTAAAAAAAAGTCCATTTGATCCTTTAATTGTGGGTTAAAGTTGTAGATAGATGAGAAAACAGATGGTACCCTTGCTTGCAATAGCAATTTTCCTAATAGATAAATCAGACTTTGGAAATAATAGCTTGGTACTAGTTGTCCCCTTCCTAGGAAAATGTACAAAATTAACTTTGCTAAGAAAAGAAACTTTTTCTAATATTAAACAGCTTGGGGTTAAAAATGAGGAATTAAATGCAGTTAACTATTTCCTTGGTAATCTAATAAATTTTGCACTGATCAAAATATTTAGTTATTTTAATTACCAAGTTGAGTACACCTCAAACATGAATTTGGTTCATGTATTTTTAAACCTTTTTATTTTATTGTAGTTTTTACCATAGTTTTCCTTTGTATATAAATTGTTATATTTTTGAACTGCCTTTTTAGCACTATGAGACACACTGAGGATTTATATATTTTATGGAAACTATAATTTTTTTACAAAATTGGTATTAAGTAATGGAAAGCCTCAAGTTTATGTATCAGGCTAAAAAAAAAAAAGGTCACTGGTATCCTGAGGAAATAAGAAAGAATCCTCAGTAATGTCAGTTATATTGTAAAATTGTAATATTTTTATAATGATCCCTAACCAATGATGCAGATCCTTTTCCTCCTTTCAATTGTGAAGATAATGTACAGCAGTGGCCTAAAGCACATTTTTTTATAATTTCTTTGACATTTATATACACCTGATGAAACAGATTGTTTCTGGTTTCATTTGGGTATTTTGTATCATGATGCATGATAATAATATAAATAAATTGGAAAATAAAATTTATTTAAGAAAACGAATCTTATATTGTATTTGAGTCTGGATGACAAATGAAGGGGGAAGAGGTTTCTGTGGTCGTGGGTATGACACACATGATTTACATCTCCATCACTTGGCGTCTATCTGAATTTTTGTCTCGCCTTGACGGAGTCAAAAAGCGAGACATAGGTATGTTGTTTCCGCCATTGGCGGCGGCATCAACAATGTATTAGCTTGTGATTAGGTTTAGTTCATGGTGAACCACTAGTGGTAAGTCAATTATATTTGGTATGCATTTGTATTAGCATTGGCACATCTCATTACCATGGAGATTATTTGGTCCCACTCCCTCAGTCAAGGTCTATTGACTTTGAAACTTTTCATAGTTTACATGTATTAGTTTGTGATTAGGTCAATTTATGGGGAACCACTAGTGGTAGGTCAATGATATTTGGTATGCAGTTGTATAAGCATTGGCATATCTCATTTCCATGGAGATTACTTGGCTCCGCCTCCTTAGTCATGGTCTATAGACTTTGAAAATTTTGCTAAGTTAACATGTATTAGTTTGTGATTAGGTCAGTTCAAGGGGAACCATTAATGGTAGGGCAATGTTAATTGGTGTTCAGTTGTATAAGCATTAGCACATCTCATTTCCATGGAGAATATTTGGCCCCTCAGTCATGGTCTATTTACTTTGAAACTTTTGCTTAGTTTACATGTATTAGTATGTGATTAGATCAGTTTAAGATGAACTGCTAATGTTAAGTCAATGATATTTGGTATGCAAATTTATTGGCATTTGCAAGTATCATTTCCATGGAGATTATATAGCCCCACCCCTGATCATGGTTCATTGACTTTGAAACTTTTACATAGTTTACAAGTTAATGTTTGTGTTTAGGTTTGTTTAAAGGGAACGACTTATAATAGGTCAATGGTATTTGGTATGCAGTTGTATTAGCATTGGCACATCTCATTCCATGGAGATTGTTTAGCCATGTACCTTCAGTCATGGTTCATCGACTTTGGATATTTGCATAACTTGCATGTTAAAGTATTGCTATTTTAATTTCAACATTTGCATTATCAAAATTACAAAAAGGCGAGACATATCTCTGTGATAAGTTTATTAAATTTTTTAGAAATGTTCATGGAATATTTCTGCTGGTTTGAACAAAACTTTGGACAAATGATACTTTAGGCATTACCTAATAGAATTGTTCATTGGACTTTACTCAGGATTACCTGATTGGCTGTCAATGCTTTAATTTGATCAAGAATGCTAAAATGTTCTAATTTATTGTCTTGTCTGTCACATACAAAACATAGGGATACTAATCTGGCAGCCGTGGCGTCTTTGTATAAAACTTCATTATTTAGACAATAGCAGAGTTGGATAATCCATATCTGGTAGGCAGATGCCTTATGGTCTGAGGTTTTTTATCTTGTCTTGACCCCAT